AGAGTTTTTTTAGTAGCAATGTTATTATTTTTAAAATCACACGAGCTTTTTATTCATTAAATAGAGAATCATAACCATAAGTTTAGTTAGAAGAAAGAGTTTTTTTTAATGGTAATTTTATAATGTCAAAGCAACATGATTTTTTTTTTTTGTATTAAATTGACTGCAAAGATAAACTTGCAAATAATCAAATATTTTTCATTGATTTTTTTTAATGCCATGTACAGCACTATGATCTTATGAAGTTTAGATATTTTCTATAATTTTTAATAGAATATAGATGCAATGAAAAAAATAATTAAATTATAGAATGTCCATGTTATTTTTCCCTTCTAAATACCACAATGTTGATAAAAATTTATCTTATTTGAATATTTTTAAAATATTTATTTTAATTATCATAAAAATTTAATAAAAAATATTTGCTGATATAATTGTCCGGTGTTTAAAAAAGTAACTAATAATATCCTATTAATTATTTTTTTGGAATCAATTTAAAAAAATAAAAACATACAATCGAAAAAGAGAAATCCAAGATAAATATATCTTTATCATTTTTCACAATCATGGATTTTATTTTATTTTTTTCAATGTAAATCTAAGAAAGTAATGGCACTAGTTATTTTTGCCGTCGCACGTGAGAAATATGCTAGTTTATTTAGAAAATTTTACATCACAATTAATGTTTTTCCGGTGGATGATTTCAATGCAAGAAAAAGCCGCTGTCAACTTGGACAAGCGCAGCCAATGAAATCTCTCGGTTGAGTCGCCCATGCCTTCAAAATCACCCGTTTCCCCCCCCTTCCAACCCAAACTGTAAAAATCAAAGAAAAGTGGACGCCCAACCCCCACAATAATAATAAAAATGAAGCATTGCAAAGAACCAGTCAGCAAAAACTGAAGTTCCACCAGAATCTCAAAATCCAAGTCCAGACCAGTCAGCCCGCTGTGTTGACTCGCCCGAGTCAATCAAAAGCAAAGCACTCTAACGCAGAAATCACCATGCCTTTTGAAATGGAATCCATGGCCGCCGCTATTGGCGTCTCCGTACCAGTTTTGAGGTTCCTTCTTTGCTTTGTGGTCACAATTCCAGTGAGTTTCATCCACCGATTCGTACCGAGTTCATTCGGCAAACATTTATACGCTGCTATTTCAGGGGCTTTCCTCTCGTATTTATCATTTGGGTTCTCTTCAAATCTTCACTTCTTGGTGCCCATGTTGTTGGGCTACCTTTCGATGGTCCTGTTTCGGCCTTACTGTGGAATCCTTACGTTTTTATTTGGATTCGGCTATTTAATTGGCTGGTATGTGTTTTTAATTTTATTTATTTCTGAGAAAGAAAGCTCACTTTTTTCTTTTTTCTTTTTAATGAATCAGTTGTTTCTTGAATAATCGGAGCTGAGTTATAGGATTTTTAATTGGATTAGTTGTTAATTGCTGTGCTTTGATGGTTTGCTGCTTGATTAAATGGACTCGGCGTGCTATTCATTTTGATTTCTCTTGAAGGCTTCAAATTAACGCGTAAATTGCAGGCTAAATGTAGAAGAAAAGAAAACATGCTGGAGGTTAAATGATAGCACTGAAATTACTTGAACGCATGCCGTAGTTTGAAATGCTGAAGGCTCAAATGCTGCATGTTTTGTTTATCTTGTTTATGTTGGGTGGAAGTAGGAGCTGGTGGGTGTTGTGTTTTTAATTATTTATTTTGAAAAAAAAATCCATATATAAGGAGGGATAGAAGCTGGTTTTAGCTAGAAAAGGTGTCATCGTGGGAATGCTGAATTTCTTCATTGTGCAGCTGTTTGCTGTGTGTGGAGAATATGGTACTGCCTTATAAATCTATAGTCCCCTTATAGCTTCATGTTTGTTATTTGATGTTCTTTTGAATATGAGTATGAAATTTATACTAGTTAATCAAATGGGACTGAAGAAATCTTTTTTCTTTCTTTGGGATTTTTATTTCTGAATTCTTGATTATTGTATCCATGTGTAGCCATGTGTATTACATGAGTGGTGATGCGTGGAAGGAAGGAGGCATTGATGCCACTGGTAAGCACGATTTCATACTTCATAATGATGATAACAGGAAATGGTATACTCTGCGAGAACTATTGATTGCTGGGTGATGAATAATTCTCTTATATTATCAGGGGCTTTAATGGTGTTAACACTGAAAGTCATATCATGTGCCATGAATTACAATGATGGACTGTTAAAAGAGGAAGAATTGAGAGAGGTTCAGAAGAAAAACCGCTTGATTCAGCTGCCCTCTTTTATTGAGTATGTTGGTTACTGCCTCTGTTGCGGTAGCCACTTTGCTGGTCCAGTTTATGAAATGAAGGATTATCTTGAGTGGACTGAAAGAAAAGAGGTATGTTCACCGTGTTTATTTTGTGCTTCTATATATGCTTTGTCTCAATGGAGACAGTCTGGTCTTGCAAAAGAGAATGGAAAAGAAAGGTCTATTCATTTTTTTTTTTCAACTTCTGGGACAAAGGCTTAGTTGTAGGTAGTCAAGTTGATGCCTTGTCTTGCTGCAAATATCTGGTTCTTAGTTTTGTTAGTTCATCTTTACAGATTTGGGCCCCTAGTGAGAAAGGACCCTCACCATCACCTTTCGGGGCAACAATTCGAGCTCTTTTCCAAGCTGCTGTTTGCATGGCCTTGTATCTGTACCTGATACCCCAGTATAACATACCCGGGCTCAATGGTCCAGCATACCAAGGATGGGGCTTCTGGAAACGGTTGGGTTACCAGTATATGTCAGGCTTCACAGCACGTTGGAAATATTATTTCATCTGGTCAATTTCAGAGGCAGCTATTATTGTCTCTGGCCTGGGTTTAAGTGGTTGGACAGAGACTTCTCCACCAAGGCCACAATGGGATCGTGCAAAAAATGTTGATGTTCTAGGTGTTGAGTTTGCTAAGAGTGCAGTTCAGTTGCCACTTGTATGGAACATACAAGTGAGCACTTGGCTTCGTCATTGTGAGTTTATCATCTCAGCTTTTGTTTCCAGTTGGTTGAGTTTTATTCGTAGGATGTAATTCTTAATTGGTACTGTTCTTAGCATCCATATATGGGAATATGTCACACAATCTGATGTACTAACTTCATGTGCTCTTTGTTCTGTTGTAGATGTTTATGATAGACTTGTTCAGAAGGGGAAGAAACCTGGTTTCTTTCAGTTGTTAGCCACACAGACTACCAGTGCTGTTTGGCATGTGAGTATAACATGCAACCATTTATTCTATTTGTGTGGGTGGTTAGGAAACTTATTTTTAAATTATGCATTTGACCCCCTTGTAGCTTTATGTATAATGATGCTGCTATTTGTTGCAAATTGAAAAGATCAGTAAAGCACCAATAGGTAAAATTCTTGTGAAGAGCAAAGGAGTGTGTCATAGCTCTTGTCTTAGCAATCTGATCCTTTCATGGTATTCCATATCTCAATTTCGCAGGTCATTGCAAATTGAAAAGACCTGAAAGCACCAATAGGTTAATTTTTACAAGAGCAAAGGAGTCTGACTTTTGTTTAACAATGTTATCCTTTATAGCCTTCCATATTTCATTTTCTCAAATATTTGACTATTTTCCTTGGCTTGTTACCTCTTTTCCTAGCATTTTCCATTTGTCTTCTCAGAAATACCTATGACTATACATGTTTTGGAGTTTTCTTGTATAATATTATTCATTGATTTTAACCTTTTCCTGTCTTCTCTCTGTGCAAATTACAGGGATTATATCCTGGGTACATAATATTCTTTGTCCAGTCAGCGTTGATGATTGCTGGTTCAAGGGGTATGACGTGGAAGATCCTTTTTTTGGTCATTTTCTTTATAGAAAGTTAAAAAGAAAAGAAGAGATTACTAACCCTCTTTCGCTACCTCGAGCAGTCCTATACAGATGGCAACAAACTATACCTCCAAATATGGCTCTGGTGAAGAAGTTGCTTGTTTTTATTAGCGTTGCTTACACCATTCTGGTTCTAAACTATTCCGCCGTTGGTTTCATGGTTAGCACTTTCTCTTATTGGAACAAATTATTTCAGAAACTGAAAATTAATATTTCTGGAGCCTAATTTTTCTCTTGTTCTATGTCATAGGTATTAAGCTTGCAAGAAACAATTGCTTTATATGGTAGTGTATATTACATTGGAACCATTGTACCTGTCGCATTGATCCTCCTTGGCAACATAATTAAACCAGCAAAGCCTGCCAGATCTAAAGCCCGGAAGGAAAAGTGAGTCAGGATCTTCTCCTCTGATGTTTCTCTTTAGAGTTCCTGGAATGAGAGCAGGAGCGTGGCAGATAACTGACCGTCTCCTCAACTATTGCCCAATTTTTTCAACATTTCTTTTGATCTCTGACACTGTTACTCTGTCTGAATTTTAATTTCAATATAAACCCTGGGCATTACATCTTCATATCTACAAGCCCCATTGAGTTTACCGCTGTGCTGTGGAACTAGATACAAATGTTCAGTGGTAGAGAAAGGAAAATAAAATATTTTGAATACCAAGGCTTGCAAAGCGAATGTTTTCAGCAGCCATTCTCTATCAAAAGGCCATTCAGCAATTTTGTCTGCAAAATGGTGGGGCATGAGTGGTGACACTCATCTATGATTGGCTAATCAATAGAACTAATCTTCGCTGGAGTCCTATTGTGTTAAGTTTATGTTCAAATCTCGCTTTTGAATTTGTTGGTTCTTGGATAGGCTTTCCGGCTTCCACATGTATTTCATACGGTAAGTGCATGATTTTTATGGGAGGCGTATGGCCATTGGCCTCAGGTATTCAGGTCCTCTGCTTTATCATTCTTTTTTCCAGAGCTTGAGTCAATGTTAATCGTTTTAGTTCTGGAGTTTCATCAACCAATCCGTACCCGTATAGCGCTTTCTACCTGGATTTGACAATTTTATCCAGATGCTTGTGATCAACAAAATCCAGCAAAGAAAATCTCATTTTTGTCTGGTGGGTATTGGGACCAGCAAGTTTCTGAAAATTAGAGGACCTTGATGGGTTAACGTGGCTCCAACACAGGCAGGACCTTGAGGCTTGACACAATCACAACGGGACCTCAAATTACGTCATGGTCACCTCGCTTCCTGTGAACCACAAGTGCCCCCGACACCGGAAAGCCCCCCAAGTTGAAATAGATCACACTTTAGCCCTTCTATTGCTGAACCTCATGCCCCTGGTAAAATCTCCAGTGTCAATCCACTAACACAAGTTATAACATGAGTTCCGTTCTTACTAGCGCCGCTGTGCTTGCTCTTGTTTGAGATTGTCGTCTAAATGAAAGTGTATCAAAATTTAAATTTTTTTTTATATCTTTAAATTATTTTAATGTATTAATATTAAAAATTAAAAAAACACTCTAAAAAATCCAAAAACCTCAACACACTTTAATTTATATTAGTCCTTGATCAGGAGCAGCTGTCGACATACCCAGTTACTGTTACCCAACATTCTTTTACAGGACTCCAGGGGCAAGCGCTACTTTAATAACCTAAAACCTTCAAACTCCTGTCCACGTGTTACAACTTGGGAGGTGATTTCATGAACTTTCCATGCTACCCTAGGTGACAACTTGCCTCTAGTCTCAGAAGCAGCAGCTTGCAGCAGAGGATAAAACTCTCAATAACAGCCATTCTTTTGTTACCCATAAGAGAGAACAGAACACATCCTCTCATACATTTCTCTCCCAATCAAGAAAACTCTCTCCCTCTATCACTCTCTAATCCGCCACTCCTTATGGCTATTTCCGCCTCAACAGCTACTTTCACCTCCACAAACCTCCTCTACCCCCACCACTCAACCACCACATCCACCACATCCACTCCTACTTTCTCCCTAACACCCACCTCCAAAATCTCCTCAAAATCCATCCTTTCGTCTTCTTTTCTCCCCCCCTTCACTCCCACCTCCTCAACCTCCCCTCTCACCACCACCCGCCACCGCTTTCTCACTGTCCGTGCAGCTAGAGGGAAGTTCGAAAGAAAGAAACCCCACGTCAACATTGGCACAATAGGCCATGTAGACCACGGCAAAACAACTCTCACAGCTGCTCCAACCATGGCTTTAGCCTCTATGGGCGGCAGTGCACCAAAAAAATACGATGAAATCGATGCTGCACCTGAAGAACGCGCTAGAGGTATCACAATTAACACCGCTACTGTTGAATATGAGACGGAATCTCGCCATTATGCTCATGTCGATTGTCCTGGTCATGCTGATTATGTTAAGAACATGATTACTGGTGCTGCTCAAATGGATGGAGCTATTCTTGTTGTGTCTGGTGCTGATGGTCCAATGCCACAAACAAAAGAGCATATCTTGTTGGCAAAGCAAGTTGGGGTTCCAAATATGGTTGTTTTTTTGAATAAACAAGATCAAGTTGATGATGAGGAGCTGTTGCAGTTGGTTGAGTTGGAGGTAAGAGAATTGTTGTCTAGTTATGAGTTTCCTGGTGATGATATTCCAATTATTTCTGGTTCTGCCTTGTTAGCTTTAGAGGCTTTGATGGAAAATCCGGCTATTAAGAGAGGAGAGAATCAATGGGTTGATAAAATATATGAACTTATGGATAATGTTGATAATTATATACCAATTCCTCAAAGGCAAACTGATTTGCCATTTTTACTTGCCGTTGAGGATGTTTTTTCTATTACTGGTCGTGGGACTGTAGCTACCGGGAGGGTTGAGAGAGGGACAATTAGAACTGGGGATACAGTAGATATTGTTGGGTTGAGGGAGACTAGGAATACAACTGTTACTGGTGTGGAAATGTTTCAAAAGATATTGGATGAAGCATTGGCAGGTGATAATGTTGGGTTGTTATTGAGAGGTGTTCAAAAGGCTGATATTCAGAGAGGGATGGTTTTGTCGAAGCCAGGGACAATTACTCCCCATACCAAGTTTGAGGCGATTGTTTATGTTTTGAAGAAGGAAGAAGGTGGTAGGCATTCTCCCTTCTTTGCTGGGTACAGGCCTCAATTTTATATGAGGACAACTGATGTTACAGGGAGGGTGGCTACAATCATGAATGATAAGGATGAGGAGTCGAAGATGGTTATGCCTGGGGATCGTGTGAAGATGGTGGTGGAACTTATTATGCCTGTGGCTTGTGAGCAAGGGATGAGGTTTGCTATCAGAGAAGGAGGGAAGACTGTTGGGGCCGGTGTTATCCAGTCCATTATTGAGTAGGTAATAAACTGTAGGAAATGTGCTCTATCGGTACTTTTTGGATGGCGTTGTCAAACTTCATATCTCAGCTTTGTGCAATTAAACTCCTGCCATTTTAGCAAAACTTTTGAGCCCCATGTCATACATTTTGCAGTTCTGTTCTTCTTTTGCACTTTGCCCTCATACTTAGTCTAGTTGGACATTGTCTTTGTGAAAATTCAATGTGGTAACTTAACCCCTTCTTGCTTTGGCTTCTAATTGCTGAATTTCAGTGAATTCGAATTGCATGTGTTGGGATGATGAAACAATCTATATTCATTTATTTGTTAATACTGCCCTTGCATTTGCTTGGTTCAATCAGTGTGGTGGTTTTGTTTTTGTGTTTTTGTGACATCATAATTGTGAATGTCGTTGTTGATTAGAGAGGTTATATTACCTCGATGTGCTTCTGCTCAGTGTCTTTAATCTGATAGTGTGATGAACGGGGGCACCATATCATCTCACTGCTGCTTGTTCGTATGTGTGCGTTTTATGTGCTGCACTTGCTTTTAGATTCAGTTCGTCCACTCTCATTGTAATATGTTCAGCAGTGGGATGAAATAATTTATAACTAGATTGCTTTGTACATGAGCAAATAGGACTTCTGAAATGGGTTTTTCTCTTTTCTGTATCAAGTGTAAGGTTATTATTTGTACTTTGTTTGGGAGTGCAAAGTAACATTTGAAGACTGAAAATTAGGGCCAATCTTCTTGCTTATGTTTTCGCAATGCTAAAAATTAACTCCCAAGTTAGTTTACATAGCAAGCAGCTAACTTTTTTCTGGAGATTGGACATGTGTTTATGCACGCGAGTTTCCATAGATGGTGGAGGTGCTAAGGCTTCCAGCATTAAAGTGTGTTCCCAATTTAAAATTTTTGGAAGTATAGTGTGTTCCCAATTTAAAATTTTTGGAAGTCTCGGACATCTTGTTAGTTAATTTTAGAGTTGCTTAGAAAACTTATATGAATATTAATTGAGAATCAAATGTTTTTTTTTGGTTTTAAATAATTATTTTAATACTGGGTTGTTGCAAATTACACGTTGTTTAGAAGAGAAATTTCTATGCTTTTGAGTGCTATTTTTTCTATGCTTTTGAGTGCTTTTTTTTTTTTAATGTATTTTCCAAGTATTTTGATAGGGCTATTTTTACTTACTACATAGAAAATAAGAAAAAACATTTTATTTACAAAGATTAAAATTTGAAAAATGATAATATATCAATTTGTTCTTTGAATAAGATATATATATATTAATTTGAGAAATTTATTCAATTAAATTTCTATTTAATTTTTATAGTTTTTTTGATATAAAATTGTAATTTTCTGAATAAATTATATTTTAGTTTTTAATTTCTAAAATTTATATTACAATTAATTTATACTTGATTAATTATTTTATTTTAATTTCTGATCAATAGTTTTCATGTGTCTAATTTATTAAGTTTTTTAATAAGTTAATTCATCATATGTCTGATTTATTAAGTTTTTTAATAAGTTAATTCAAATACAAATAACAATTCTAAATAAAATAAAATAAAATAAAATAATTTATTATTAATTTAATAATTGATTAATTTATATTTGAAAATCAAGATTAATGTCTAACGACACCAATGTTTCTAAAGTAAGAAAAATCTAAAATTTGATTCATTAACTTGATTAAATTTAGTAAAATTTAATTAATTTAATAATATAATTAAAAAAATATTGATAATGAATAAAAAAATAAAATAATAATAATTAATTATAAAAATTGAACTCTCAATACCTGGAATGAAAAGAAAAAATAATCATTAAAGACTTAGCATCAATGGTCTCATTGAGATAGTTATAACATTATTGTAAAAGATTACACAATAATAATAATAATAAAACACAAATATTATAAGAGTAATAACTTGAAAAATAAATCAAACAAAATATCATAAAATGAGCATCTTATATTTACATTTGATCAATGAATTTAATTTAAAAATAAATTTTTTTTAAGAAAAACTAAATTTAAAAAAGAACAACAAATACAACACCCGGAGGTAGTTTAAATTATTTTAAAAAAGAGTAAAAAACCATATAAAAATAAAATAAAAAAATAATAAAAAATTTAAATATCTAATTAAATAAAAACTGAAGAATAAAATTAAAAAAATATAAATTTTAAAATAAAAAACAAACAAATCTAGATAAATTTTCTAAACTAAAAAAAACATGTCTTGGGCCTGTGCCTATTAGTGGGCCTGATTTGGTCAGAAGCCATCTTATCTTTTGGTTGGGCCATCTATTATGGAGAACTCCATGGTTTGACTATAAAGGGTTGAACCCTCTCTGGGCCTCGTTCACTTGTCCAAACAAGTAATATGGATGGAATGGGATTTTGTTTTCAGCATACATTTGTAGGTATGTATGTATGTCTGCAATGGCAGCATTCCAAATACTTGACATTGACAACAAAACAAGATGCTTTGAATAATATTAATAATGTCAACACCGTTACTCTAACCTTACAACTAAGCAAACATAAACATACAGACAGGCAAGGGCTACAGATTTTTCTTTTCTTTTTGTGCCTGTCAGAAGACTTTGCCTTACCATGTTCCTTCCTCCTCCTCCTACTCCTTCTCCTACTCCTACATTATTATTATTATTGCCTTCCAGTTCGTAGAAAACGACTACCTCTTACTTGGGCTCTCTCTCTCTTTCTTTCGCACATGTTTATTCACGTCTAGTTTTTATTAATATTAATTGGAAGGATAAACTGGCAATAGGGTCCTCTCTCTCTCTCTCTCTCTCTCTCACTATTAATTGGAAGGAATTGGACAAACTTTTATCCTAGAATTTACTTATTAAGCTAAAAAAATGGTTTTCTGTTCGAGCCTCGTTTTTTGTAATAAAAACAGGAAGGAATTGGACAAACTTTTATCCTAGAATTTACTTATTAAGCTAAAAAAAGGTTATAACTATGGAGATATCAAGATATAGCTGTTCTGTCAATCTATATTTATCAAATATAGCTTTGATTTAGGTAAAAAAAGAGATTTGCTCTGCTTCCCTCCATTTAACTAACACCTTTTTTTTTAATGGTTAAATTTCCCATACAATATAAATTCCATTTTAATTTCGTCTTCTTTGTTACAAAAATAATTTCCCCAAAAAAAAAAATCCTTTCTGCGTTCTTCAGTTTTGTATACATATATTATATTCTTCTGCTTCGCTGGCCATTAGTTTTCTCCCCCCAACCCCCCCTTTATTTTTTTCATTTCCCTTTTCTTTTCCTCTCTCCTCCTAGCTTTCTTCAGCGAAGATACCACATGTCTCTCCCTCTCTCTCTCTCTAGCAATATTTCTCCGTTAACCATCCTCTCAATACATAAAAAAACATTATTTTGTTTTCAAAATCACCATTGTACGTCTTTTTGTAGAAAGATGTCTTCTTTCAAGTAAAATACCCTTCTTGTATTTATAGCAGTTCGGTATTGAGTCCAAATATTACACACCATGTCCTTTGAACTCAGGTGTTGTTAAACCGGAAAGCACTGCTTCAGATCAATGAAGAGAACTTTCTTCGAGATCTAAGGTTCTTTCTTTCTTCTCATCTGCGTTTATCTTAAGCCTCAAGGCAAGTTCAGGGATATATGTAGATGGAACCAATGAAGTCAAAGATTAAGGGGATGTTTACTCAGGGGGGCAAGGAGGACTTTTATGTTGGCAGATGCAATATGAATATTGTTGAAGAATGGGAAATTAGGCCAGGAGGAATGTTAGTTCAAAAGAGAAATACTGCTGATTCCAATCATAACTCTGTTCCTGTTTCCAACATTAAAGTTAGAGTCAAATGTGGTTCTTCATGTCATGAAATCAGCATCAGTTCTCAAGCAAGTTTTGGTAATTTGATAATTCTTAGACCACCGTGTTTTTGTTTATATTGATGATACTTTTGACTTGATATTTTTTAGAATGATAAATATTAAGGAGTTGGTTTTTGGGCCACAGGTGAACTGAAAAAAATGCTTGCGGAACATACAGGAGTGCACCCACTGGATCAAAAGCTGATATTCAAGAAGAAGGAGAGAAATTCGAAGGCGTATTTAGATGTTGCCGGAGTGAAAGATGGATCCAAAATTGTGTTAATTGAGGACATTACCAGCCGCGAAAGGCGTTGTCTTGAGATGCTCAAATCTGCTAAGATAGAAAAGGGTTCGAAGTCATTGCAACAAGTAAGCTCGGAAGTTGACCAGTTTGGTGATAAGGTAAGTAAACTTTTCTAGAGATAAAGATTACACGGGGTGCCTCTAGCAGAAATCAGATTTTAAAGTTTCTGAGAAATTCTTTTTATTGCACTGTTGTAGGTGACATCCTTGGAAACAACAACTTCTAAGGGAGGAAAAGTAGCAGAGAAAGACGTGGATGGTTTGACTGAAATCTTGATGGCAAAATTAGTAGCATTGGATGGGATTTTTGTTGAGGGAGACTTGAAGTTGCAGAAGAGAATGCAGGTATTATGGGACTTCTAATTGGTCTTCTCGCTTTCTTGTCACACATTTCAATTCGATTAATGTTCAAGTTCTTGCTTTGCCTTGTCTTTCATGAAGGAAAGGAAAGTTCAGCAGTACATTGAAGCTCTTGATAGGCTCAAGTTAAACTATTCTACTGCCAATACCAGTGGAGGCAAAATCCCATTGCAGCTACAAGATAATTCAATTGGAAAAATACCAATACCAACGCAAAAGAAGCCAATTCAAAACAATAAAGGAAAAATCCCATTGCAGCAGCAAGATAATTCAATAAGGATAACGCCAATAACAAAGCAAAAGCAGACAATTCAAAGCAATGGAGGCAAAATCCTATTGCAGCAACAAGATCATTCAACTGGGAAAATGCCAATACCAAAGCAAAAACAGTCAGTTCAGTCCAAACAGCAGAATGCTACAATGCAAATGCCAACACAGAAGCAGCAGCGACCAGTGTTGAGTAATTCCGAGTCTTTTGTGGTGACAACAGCATGGGAAACTTTTGATTAAGCTGTGGAGATAATGTTTCCACGAGTTCTTGGCTTAAGTGGGAGCAATTTAAAGAAAAAGACGGTTAACTACGCTTGGATTTCCATTTTTCTGTCACTCTTGTTTCTTTACTCATTCCTTGCTGTTTTAGATTTGTTTTCTTTACTCATTCCTTGCTGTTTTAGATTTATGATTTGTTTTTCTTTTTTGAAAATAAACTAAATTGGCTCTTAGCAAATTGTATACAGAATATAGCAGATTTCTTATATGTACCATATTATGTTATAGAGTAGTTATAAATTCGGGCAAGTAGAATTATATTTTGAAGAATTTGTTGCGGCTGCTGTTACTGTTGACTCGATGGTGGTGTGGCTCGGGACCACAGAACACCTAATATTGTGTTCATACTTGCTGTATTTTACCAAACAGATAATTTTTTTTTTTGAAACTAATACAAGTTAAAAAAATATTTTAAAAAATAATATAATTTTAACACAATCATAATTATAAATATTAATTTTATAATTACAATTATTGAAAATAAACAATTACTCATATTAGGAGAAGTAAATAATTTCTGATTCGGATAAGATTCTTCGTTTCTATATATACACAAGGGGAAAAGGAGACTGTGGGGGTAATATTTATGTAATAATTAGCATAAAACAAATCATTACAGAATGATAGAAAGGTAGATTTGACATTGGAAGGCAGGATACATGGCGTTGGAAAACAGGTAGAATGGTTAATCATCTCAAAGGCAACATGTTTAAGTGTTGGTTAACGTAAAATTCTAATTAAACACACAGATTAAGTTGCTCCCGGAAAAATTCTCCATCACAGCTGTTCTCCCTCTTGCTGAGAAAAAAAGATGTCAGATTGTCTTGGTTCACTAAACTATTGGCTTGACGTGATGGGAGTACCAGTTAGATATCAAGAATTCAGAGACATGCACATGGATAGGTTTTGCTGGTGAAGTTTGAGGTGACATGATGTCAAATTTTACTCATGCATAGAAAAATCAATTTCATGCAATCCTGCTCAGTGATTATGAAAGCTTTTATTAAATAGTTGAACCTAATAATTGTACCTCTAATGCCAGCCAGTTGTTAATAATCAAGTCTGAGAACTTTTATTAAACAGTTCAACAATATTTTTAACTTTTATTTAATAGAATTAAAGTGGATGTAACGGCAAAAGGAGCGAAAGGGCTGTCTATTTTGGTTTTCTTAATTTACCAGAAATCTCAGTAAACGTGTTATCATCTAAGGTGATGGCGCCAGAAAGAAGGAACAAAAAGCAAAGAAGAAGAAAGAGAAGAGGCCCAATGGTTACTCGACAAGGCAATAATAATACCTCGAGTGGATTCAGAACATCCCTGAGAAACTGTACCAGTCAGAGAGAACATATGAGGAATAAGAAATGCAAGAACTGAGAGGGATTCTATTCATGTGATGCCTAAAACTGCAAACTCAAGGTGATTCTCTCAAACATGCCAAGAACTTCCAGTTAACTAGCTTTGGAGTAAAGAAAAAGGTAGGGGCCATCCTTGTTCCTTCTTTTCTTTGTTCTTCCTTTCGGTTTCCCTGTCGACAAATGCATTTGATAGCATCAGAGTTTCCCTTCAGGATTCTATTCATGTGATGCCTAAAAAGTATCTGCAAACTCAAGGTAATTCTCTCAAACATGCCAAGAACTTTCAGTTAACTAGCTTTGGAGTAAAGAAAAAGGTAGGGGCCATCCTTGTTCCTTCTTTTCTTTGTTCTTCCTTTCGGTTTCCCTGTCGACAAATGCATTTGATAGCATCAGAGTTTCCCTTCTGCATGATGGGGCACACTTGCGTTTCCTAACTTTATTTCATGCCATGAGGGGAAAGCAAGGGTTTTGCTTTTTGACAGGTGTTGCTGTGAGGCTTTGACTAACTCTTCGGAGATGGGCCTATTGCATGTGAACTGGAAATGAGGATGCAAGATGCCACCCCAAGAAAGCTGCCGATCTACTTTCTTAAAAAACAAAGTTAATAAATTTAGACATTGATATGTTGGACTTTATCAGTCGGTACTAACATTACCCTAATAACATTAACATTAAGGAAACACCTATACGACATGGGATAGATCTTACTTCATTGAAGCGTGTTAATATGTTCTTTGTTTCATAACTCAATTGGTTAGTATGTATCATATAAACCGTTCTAGGTTCGAGCGATGCCGGGAGTAGGATTTTCATCTACACGTTTAAAAACACGGAAATAACCACAGTTTTTGTTTTATCACCCGATGACAGTTTTATCTAACAGTTCAATTGGTTAACGTTTGAGTTTTAGCCAAAGATCACAGTTCAATTTCTATGCCACATGTAGCCTGTCATTTAAAAATAAAAATAAAAGAAGCGGTGAATGACTTGGGCTTTTTTTAACAAACTCAGCCATGTTGGGCCATTTTAGCCTGCATTTGGGCTATCTTTTTATTAGGTTTTTAGGGTTTTATTTTTATTATTCTTTACTGTTAAGTTTTTATTGAATTTTATTCTTTTTATTAAATTGATTATAATTCAGTTTTTTTAGCATATCATAAAACAAAAAAAAAATTAACTCCACCTAATGGAGTTTATAACCAGAGTTTGAGTTTGAAGAACTGATTAGGATTAACATGAATCTAATCAATGAACAAGATCATATAAATGTATTTTTTTTATAATTTATTTTTAAATTCAGGCAGGATAAAAATTTGAATTAAGAGGTTTTAAAGTTCACCCATTAAACTATGTTTAATAAGAATATCAAATAATTTTTTATGATCTGAATATTTTTTATTACATTAAAAAAAATTTGATTCAATCCACAACATACCACATACATCAAAAAAATAAATGTCAAATTTAACAATTCTTTTAATATTTTTGCAAAGTGAGGTACAAAATTTAGATGCCTCATTTTTCTTTTACATTACCCCTTTTCTTTTATTAACCTTCTTTCACTTATAGCCTTACTTAAAAATTGTTTTAGTAAGATAACTATTTTTTAAAACTTGTTTATGGATATTAATTTAGTTTAAATTGATATATAAACTCATCTAATTTTTTTATATCATTAAAAAAGAAAGAAAGATTATATAGATAAATGTGTTTTTTCAAAGTTTCTTCAAATGCATTATTTTCATAAATTCAATGTTATTTAAATCTAACCAATGAAAATATACCTCTAATTAGTCATATTTTAAACCATAAGATAAGATATTAAATGTTTAATTAATGAGTTTATTATATCATATAAACAGATAAAAGTCTAAAAAAATAGTCTTGGAAGAAAAATACATTATTTGTTTAAACTATACATTTGACCTAGATGTTCAATTCACGCAAATCTGACTAATGTTGAAAGTTTATTCAAATCTCTATAGTCTAATAGTGAGAGTGAAGTCACCAAAAACCTTTTTGAAATCAAATTTACTTTAAAGATAAACTTTTAAACCATTCTGAATCACAAAACAGACTTAAATTGCTCCTATTTATGGATTATAGTTTTCATATTTATCATTTTTTATATTTTTTATTAATTTTAATTTTTTTATTATTTTATTTCTAGCTTTTCTGTTGGTGTTAGTTAATTATGATATACTATTTTTTCTGTTTTTTAAGACCTTTGGCCATCAATAATCAATAATTTAGAAATTTACCATGTCTATTTTGTTTCCTTGTCAAACTAGAGAAAAACACAAAAAAAAGTGAAGAAAATTCAATTATCTGAGCATATATAAAGATATAATTCAAGTTAAAAAATTGAATAACATTGATTAATAAGCTATTTTTTATAGAATAAATCAATAAGAATAACAATTTCATAATCTTAAAAAACAAAATAATCAGGTAGTTGATCATACCTTGATAATTACCGATAATTTCTTATGAGTGATATGAAAATATTAAACTAAATTCCTCATTGCTAGCTTGTTAAAGAGTGATAAGATTTTTTTTATTGTTGTTTTCATGACTTCTTCTTAATAATTTACTATGTTTTTTATTTTAAGGTTTTTTAGTGCGACAAACCCTGTATCCTTCATTATAAGCTGCATTAAGTGATATCAAAACTGGATTAATTAAGCTTAGGGAACTTAAACAACAAGGATTAGAAGTGTGGAGTAGAGATTTAGCCGTAGGAGACTAAATTGGAAGAAATAAAAAATTGTCTTAAATGGATTCCCTTAGATCATGCTAGCAAGGATAAAAAATTATATGGTTTATATATGGAGATTTATTTTGTGATGCATCTAATGCTAGAATTATTTCTATCAAACTAAAACATTACATTTACTAGGATCTTATGAAGAATTTTTATAAAGAGATAGCACAAGATGATATTTAATTGGCAGGGGGAATAGATGGGGAGAGACATGGCCAGATTAACCATGACACTTGCAACTTTTGTTTTTAAACTGATATTCAAAATTTTAATGGAGATATGAAAATACATGATTTTATGGATTGACTTGTTAATTGTAATAGAATTTTGGTATGTGAAAAGATATCAAAGGAAGATATTATAGGGACAGTCTCAATTAGTTAACGTTGAGAGATCAATTTTTTCCTTATAATTTTAAATAATATCTTTTTTATTAGTATTGAAAGTGTATTCAAGAATAGAAAACTATTATGAATAGACTATTAAGTTTATAAATCTAGCAGAATGTAATTATTAGTGAGATAATTAATGAAGGTCACATAATTGCCAGATATTTGAATGGTTTGAAACCTACCATCAAGAATAACATAGGAGTATAAATGTTGTAAATACTTAATGACACATAAATTTTAACGCTAAAAAATAATAATATATTGTTGCAAAGGCGCTCATATATTAACAAAATTATTTAACCTAATTTACAGGAGTTTTGTATAAACAAGTAAAGGGGGAGCTAGAAAGGGTAACAATATTCAACCAACTTCATAAAGTCCTTCCTAAAAGGTTATGAACCTGATCATAGAATAGTGGTTGGAAAACAAATTAAATGTTCATAAAAACCAGCAAAGTAGGAACTAAGAAGGGTAAAACTATTCAACCCATTCAATATAGTTCTTATTAAAAGATTGCAAAGCCTAATAGGGTAATGGCTGAGAAGCATATCAAAGTACGTAGTTAAACTTGCCAACCCGTATACAAGAGCAATACCAGTAATATCTGGTAATTATTTTAAATATGGTGAACCAAATTACCATTCTAATTACTATGTGAAAAAATGGTTATTAATATAATGAGAAATTATATAGATGATATAAGTGAAAAAATGGCTATTAATATAATGAGAAATTATATAGATGATAGGGATTAT